AGTTCATTATTTTATGTCCCTTTTGTTAGTATCTATGTTTGCAACTATAGTATACGTACTAATACTAGCGTTTTTTTGTCAAATAGGAATCAAGGAAAGCTGAATTAATTTTCTTAATTGCGAAGAAGACGTACGAGTTGAATGAGCTCACTACAGAATTACGAGAATTAGAAGAGCGTAGTGCTAGATGCCAAAAAAACCAAGGAGAAAGAGGATGACGGAAATGTAACTGAAGAAAAAAAAATCAAAGAGGATATGGAAGCTAAGGAATATGAGAATTTGGAAGGAACTGGGGAAGCCGATTTATGTGATGACTTTGTGATGAGCGCAAGAGACGTGAGAATTTTAGAAGATGCTCGGTGAGTTTAGTTTTTTAAATTTTCTTGCAATTTTAATTTTTATATTTTCCATATAATTCTTGTGTAACTCTTTGTTAATTATATGCATTCTCGACTCTATAGAGATGTTTCTCAAAAAGATGAAGGTGGTAATGAGAATAACAGAGAAACGCCATCTATCAAACGGGCTGTCGGAAAGAGGGAGAGGAAGGATGGACCCTCTGTTACTTCAGCTTATATGCCTCTAGATCAACCAAAGGAAGGCACAAAGAAGAGACGTGTCATCCAGATATTTGATAGTCCTGAGGGGGAAAAAAAGTGCAAAAATCAAGAAGGCTTCATACCTACATCTAGAGACTATCTAGGTAAGGCACTGGCGTTTGATTATGAGAACAAATTAATTGAAGACTTTCTACAATCGAGAATGAACAGGTAACTGTTACTGACTTATTCTAATAATAATCTTTGAATTTACTTAATTCTAGTAGCAATTTTCTCACAATGTACTTGCATATAGTGATACGTACATTTGGAAGTGTGCCGAAGCAAGCGTATCTCGCTTAGATGCTTATATACTATTAACGGGAGGTGAACTCAGTGACGATGTAGGTTCTAAACAATTGTGTTATTGATTGTTTGATGTTGTATATAAAATAATTTATATTAACTATTTTATTCATTCATGGTAATTTTTGTAGGTGATCGATGCATTTGTTATTCGGCTTTGTAACAAGATTGAAACAACTGATAGTTATGATCGAAAGATACATGTCACAAGACCTTGGCTTGCAGTAAGTATATCCTTGTTTTTTTCACTAATTGGTGGATATTATTATTATGTTATCCCACAATGTTGACATTATTGCATCTTTTAGCAAGCATTTCTAGAAGGAAATCTTGAAATGGTGGCAAAACGAATGAAGGAAAATGTTTCTCAGCAGAAGTTCTTGGAGTGTGAAAGAATTCTGATCCCGATTGTCAGCTCCGGACATTGGCACCTGGTAGAGTTAGTGAGAGAGGAGACAAAATTCTATCACTACTCCTCAATCAACTCCCCCATTTATACCGCCGATGCTGTGAAATTTATAAATAAGTTTATGAGTTTCATTGAGAGTAATTGGGGATTGGGGAAATTGGAGCATCATGGTCTTGTGTCAGTTGCCGTGCCACAACAAGGACCGTAAGTGTTTCATGCATTTCTAATTTAATTGTTCATTTTTTTGTTTCATTGTCATTTTCAATATTGTAATATTTTTCCCTTAAATGCAGAACGTTAGATTGCGGGATCTTTATGATGTAGGGCTAACATGGCCAACAGAACACACACTTGTGCTATCTAGAAATAACGCCAGCCCGCAGTAGAACTAACTCGAGAAGGGATAGAACTAACAGGAGGGCAGCTAGAACTAACAAGCAGTTAGGTAGGGCTAACTAACATGGCCACCAGAGCAAACACTTGTGCTAGAAATAACGCCAGCCCGCAGTAGAACTAACTCGAGAAGGGATAAAACTAACAGGAGGGCAGCTAGAACTAACAAGCGTGAGGTAGGGCTAACATGGCCACCAAAACAAACACTTGTGCCAGAAATGGTAAGAACTAACACGGAAACGGCTAGAACGAACATTAACATAGGTAGAACTAACATATTCAATAGATCCAACACTTAAACTAACATTATTCACTTGCACTTGGCAAGAACTAACACGGAAATGGCTAGGTTTGACTGCATTCGTTGTTTTTGCATAGTTCCCAAGGTTGAAGAGTCAACTCACCTTACAAAAGTGCAGTCCCAAGGAGGAGAGTTATGATAACCTGGTCCGGAACCTATCCCCACATCCCACGCGGCAACATCACCATCCCCAAAGCCTGTTCAACCCCAGGATAGTATTGATTACCTTTTCGGCGCAATCTTTTTCGGATCTCCCCATCGCCGACTCTCTGTAGACTCTTCCTCATTTATTTGTAAACCCCATACTTTTACCCTCTCCCCTACACCTTCAAGTTCCCCTGTATATATGGCGTTGTAAATTCATGGCTAGTTCCTGTACATCCGATGAAGGTCATTGCCTGCCTGGGACGCACGCTGATGTGGATCTTGGATATCCCTCACGCTGATGAAGATGTTATCCCCATTGTCTTTGCTCTTAGTTCCATCAGTGGGTGAATATCACGCTGATGAAGATGTTATCCCCATTGTCTTTGCTCTTAGTTCCATCAGTGGGTGAATATACCTGGCTCTCTTCAAAGAGTTTGTACATTAACGCCCAGTTAAGATTTATAAGCGCATGTAATACGATCAATTCAGATAGGTCATGCGTGAATCACATGGGGAGGCATGCAGATGCTGGAGAGAATTGTCCTCTGGCATACGTTAACACTATATAGCTATACAGTGTTAACGTAAGCCAGAGGACTATCTTTTTGCTAGCATTCGCATGCCTTCCTAGGTGATTCACGTACTGACCCGTCTGAATTGATCGTATTCCATGCGCTTATGAATCTTAACTGTTGTTATTGCACAAGCTCATTGAAGGGACCCAGGTATACTCACCCAAGATACTGGAACTAAGAGCAAAGACACAGATTGTACATGCAGTTGACATTACTTTAATACAAGGTTGTTTTGTTAAGTCATCACGTTTTATTGTAAAGATTATGGACTGGTTGTATTGTTATGTTTGCCGTTGTGTTGTCAAGCTTATGGACGGATTGTCAAGGTTATGTTTTGGTTTTCAACCTCTCCGATTTATTGCGAAGTTTAGCACTCTGTTTTCAAGCTTATGGACTAGTTGCGTAGTTCAGCGCTCTGTTGTCAAATCTAATCTGTTTGTTGTTAAGCTTATCTGCTGTTTGCATTTAATTCTACTGTTGTTGTGAAGCTATCTTCTGTTTAGTCTTTGTATTGTTAGGCTTATGGACTTGTTCACAAGTTTAGATCTTGGTTTGTATTGTTAGTTCCAGCTTAGTCTATATTTTTCTGTTGCCCAGATTCGAGCAGAATCAGATAGAAAATGACCAGTTTTTGCCATGTTAGTTCTAAGTTATGCCATGTTAGTTCTAACTTATGTCTTGTTGATTCTAACTTATACCATGTTAGTTCTAATCTACACCATGTTAGTTCTAACTTATACCATGTTAGTTCTAACTCATTAAGTACAATAGACCCAACACTTAAACTAGAACTTAAAGTTATATGGAGGTGGAAATAACACGAGAACAGCTGGATCTATCACTGGAGAAGCGAGAACTTACAACAACTAAGTTGGAACGAACAAAGACGCTAGATCCAATACTTAAAGCTCTAACTAGCGCTAGCCGGCTATAGAACTAACATGAGTGCCCTTAGACTTAACACGGAAGATGATAGAACTAACAACATCTAAGCAAGAACTAACAAAACCAGTAAAACAAATGACTTAGGCTCCCGTATGGATTCCATGGTGTTTTTTGAGCTAAATCGTCTTCAACCCAAAACATTATCACTTTTCCTAAACACCTAAAATAAGTTTTAATTTTGGTGTTTTGGTTTTGAGTCTGAGGAGGTGTTAATACAATATCTAGCATAATATATTAAATGTAATGCATATAGAGTTGACATGTTAATGTAATATCTAACATAATTTATTGGTAAAATATGTTAATGTAAAGATAATATATTCACAACACCTATTTATATATATCATAAATTACTAATATATTATTAAATTACTATTAATAATCTCAGCCCTATTAAAGACCATAGTATATTACATAATATTAGAATATTCATAACACATTAATTTATTAGTAACATACCAGTCATAAAATAATATTAACATTATTAAAAATATTATATTATATGAATGATTATATTATAATGACAATAGTATAATATTATGTTATATTAATAATAAAATAAGGTTATTTTAAAAATATAATATAATATATAACCGTAACAATTTGATATACCAAAATTATTAAATTATTTAACTATTTGAAAATAATATGTAATAATTATAAGATGACATAACTCATTAAGTACAATAGACCCAACACTTAAACTAGAACTTAAAGTTATATGGAGGTGGAAATAACACGAGAACAGCTGGATCTATCACTGGAGAAGCGAGAACTTACAACAACTAAGCTGGAACGAACAAAGACGCTAGATCCAATACTTAAGCTCTAACTAGCGCTAGCCGGTTATAGAACTAACATGAATGCCCTTAGACTTAACACGGAAGATGATAGAACTAACAACATCTAAGCAAGAACTAACAAAACCAGTAAAACAAATGACTTAGGCTCCCGTATGGATTCCATGGTGTTTTTTGAGCTAAATCGTCTTCAACCCAAAACATTATCACTTTTCCTAAACACCTAAAATAAGTTTTAATTTTGGTGTTTTGGTTTTGAGTCTGAGGAGGTGTTAATACAATATCTAGCATAATATATTAAATGTAATGCATATAGAGTTGACATGTTAATGTAATATCTAACATAATTTATTGGTAAAATATGTTAATGTAAAGATAATATATTCACAACACCTATTTATATATATCATAAATTACTAATATATTATTAAATTACTATTAATAATCTCAGCCCTATTAAAGACCATAGTATATTACATAATATTAGAATATTCATAACACATTAATTTATTAGTAACATACCAGTCATAAAATAATATTAACATTATTAAAAATATTATATTATATGAATGATTATATTATAATGACAATAGTATAATATTATGTTATATTAATAATAAAATAAGGTTATTTTAAAAATATAATATAATATATAACCGTAACAATTTGATATACCAAAATTATTAAATTATTTAACTATTTGAAAATAATATGTAATAATTATAAGATGACATAACTCATTAAGTACAATAGACCCAACACTTAAACTAGAACTTAAAGTTATATGGAGGTGGAAATAACACGAGAACAGCTGGATCTATCACTGGAGAAGCGAGAACTTACAACAACTAAGTTGGAACGAACAAAGACGCTAGATCCAATACTTAAGCTCTAACTAGCGCTAGCCGGCTATAGAACTAACATGAGTGCCCTTAGACTTAACACGGAAGATGATAGAACTAACAACATCTAAGCAAGAACTAACAAAACCAGTAAAACAAATGACTTAGGCTCCCGTATGGATTCCATGGTGTTTTTTGAGCTAAATCGTCTTCAACCCAAAACATTATCACTTTTCCTAAACACCTAAAATAAGTTTTAATTTTGGTGTTTTGGTTTTGAGTCTGAGGAGGTGTTAATACAATATCTAGCATAATATATTAAATGTAATGCATATAGAGTTGACATGTTAATGTAATATCTAACATAATTTATTGGTAAAATATGTTAATGTAAAGATAATATATTCACAACACCTATTTATATATATCATAAATTACTAATATATTATTAAATTACTATTAATAATCTCAGCCCTATTAAAGACCATAGTATATTACATAATATTAGAATATTCATAACACATTAATTTATTAGTAACATACCAGTCATAAAATAATATTAACATTATTAAAAATATTATATTATATGAATGATTATATTATAATGACAATAGTATAATATTATGTTATATTAATAATAAAATAAGGTTATTTTAAAAATATAATATAATATATAACCGTAACAATTTGATATACCAAAATTATTAAATTATTTAACTATTTGAAAATAATATGTAATAATTATAAGATGACATAACTCATTAAGTACAATAGACCCAACACTTAAACTAGAACTTAAAGTTATATGGAGGTGGAAATAACACGAGAACAGCTGGATCTATCACTGGAGAAGCGAGAACTTACAACAACTAAGTTGGAACGAACAAAGACGCTAGATCCAATACTTAAGCTCTAACTAGCGCTAGCCGGCTATAGAACTAACATGAGTGCCCTTAGACTTAACACGGAAGATGATAGAACTAACAACATCTAAGCAAGAACTAACAAAACCAGTAAAACAAATGACTTAGGCTCCCGTATGGATTCCATGGTGTTTTTTGAGCTAAATCGTCTTCAACCCAAAACATTATCACTTTTCCTAAACACCTAAAATAAGTTTTAATTTTGGTGTTTTGGTTTTGAGTCTGAGGAGGTGTTAATACAATATCTAGCATAATATATTAAATGTAATGCATATAGAGTTGACATGTTAATGTAATATCTAACATAATTTATTGGTAAAATATGTTAATGTAAAGATAATATATTCACAACACCTATTTATATATATCATAAATTACTAATATATTATTAAATTACT